AGACTGTATATATGTATAGTGTCAACATAAAAAAGCCATAACTTCCTTCTATTCTGTACTGGTCACAATGAACTTAGAATATTACTTTCATTTCTGGCACTAAAATTTAGGAAGGGCATTGACAAACTAGGCCATATGCAGAGGGTGATAATAGAGAAAGTGATAGAAGAACTGGAAGGAAAAAAAAATGAAAAACAATTGGATGTGTTTGGTATATTTAGCCTGGAGAATAGAAGCATGACACAATAGATGTCTTCAGGCATCTGGAGAGAAGTCTTGTAGAAAACAGGACAAAATTCTTTAAAGCTGTTCAAAAACACAATACAGGTAGTCCTTAACTTACGACCACAACTGAACCCAACATTTCCATTGCTAAATAAGAAAGTTAAATGAATTTTGCCCCATTTTATGACCTTTCTTGCCACAGTTATTAACTGAATAACTGCAGCTGTTAAGTTGGTAACATGTTTGTTAAGTAAATCTGGCTTCCCCATTGATTTTGCTTGTCAGAAGGTCGCAAAAGATAATCACATGACCCTGGGAACCACAATGGTCATAAATATGAGTCAGTTGCCAAGCATTTGAATTTTGATCATGTGACCGCAATGTTTGATCCTGTGACTGTTGGGGATGCTGCAATGGTGATGTAAAAAATGTTCATTTGTCACTTTTTTTAGTGATGTTATAGCTTTGAACTAAACAAACTGTTGTAAGTTGATGACTATCTGTATAAGTATTTTGAATTATTTTATACTTTAAAAAACAATCTGTAACAATGTTGATTTAACCCTCATCCTAAATGTTACTAACGGCAACATTGAAAACTCAATTCCTATCTACAAATAAAAAAACAGTATTTAATAAAATGTTATATGAATGTATGATGCTAAATTTTGGCAGGTTTTTTTGCATATGGTGATTTTGAAGTAAAATAAATACATATATGAAATTATGTGTACACCAAAGAAACTCCCAACTTATTAATTTTATAAAAATAAACAAAAGCAAGCAAGCATTATTTGATCAGAAAACAACCTGGAGATGTACAAACAACATATTCCCTATGAAATCCAACATTTTTTATGTTATCATCTCTCCCTCTCTCTCTCTCTCTCTCTCTCTCTCTCTCTCTCTCTCTCTCTCTCTCTCTCCTCTCTGTATATGTAATTTAATTATATTTACAGAAGAGTTTGTGGTGTTTTTTTTTTCCTTTTTACCTGCCTTTCTAAGGAACAATGATCCAGTGGGGATTTTATTGATTTTGCTAACTATGTCACAGTCCATTTAAAACAAAATGACATATGGTTTTGACAGGAAAAATGATTAATTGCTATAAAAAGAGAACAGATAGACTTGAGTGATGGTGACAAAACAACAACAAAAACCCTCTTAGGAGACAGGAAGAAAACAAATATAAAATATGGTGCTGTAAATGGAGTGAATTCTGCTTTTTATGACAGTTGTAGAAGGAAGCAATTCTTCAATCTTCTTTGTGTAAACATGGATTCTCATGAGAACATTTATCTCCAGAGAAGGAATAGATAACATCAGGATGCACCATTTTATGATACAGGAAAGTGATAGCGATAGACAAATCATAAAGTTTTCATAATCAAATCTTATCTGCTGACACTTTGTGCTTTGCATGTATTACTTATGGATAATTTTGCACAGTGGGAATTGTACCGCAGTACAATGTGGGAGAAGCAGTGGAAATACAACATGGATAAAAAAAGATCATTTTTTTTCTGTGAATTACTGGCCAAAGAGGATATAATATAAGTGTCCTTCCCTATTCTCCTATGCAGGATTAATTTAAAATTCTTATAATAGCAATAAAATACTTCCACCTGAGAACTCTGACAGTCTCTTTTCATACATAGCTTTTGTACAGTTAAAAACATTTCTGTTACCACACTGCAAAGCATCCCATACATATGTAATAGGGAACCTAAACCAAAACTGTCTCTATAAAAATACGTTTTCTAGATCCATCTAACTACCATTTAGAAAGTGTTCACAATTGAAATTTTCTCCCTCCCTCCCTTCCCTCCCTTTTAGTATTTCCAGAATCACCTTAGTTTTTCCAAGTACTCACTATCATACCTCAGCTTAAAAAATAAAAAAAAAACCAAAAGCAGGAAAATCAGTATATTTGCTAGAAGTTCTCACTGGATCCAAATACCCAGAGGGTCTCTCTACCATCACCTCTTTTTATTAGTTTTAGATTCATTTTAGTTCAGTGGTTCTCAACCTTTTTAATGCCGCGACCCCCAACCGATCATAAGTCAAGGACTACCCAACTGGTTGTAAGTCGAGGACTTTCCCTGCCTGGGAGTGCTGCGCATGCATGGTGCTGTCCCCTACACCAGCCGAGGCATAGCTGGCAAGCGGCAGAGACAGCGCAGGCCAACCACCGACTGGGCTACCAGCTGGCCCAGCCCAAGGGAGGTAAGGCACCCGCCGGGCCCCACACGCGCCAGCAACCCTCCCTGCGCCCACTGGCCTCCCACCTCCCACCCCGGCCCTCTTTTACTTACATTTTTAGTAGTTGCTCAGCAGGGAGGGGTGGAAACTTCCAGACAGCTCGCCTTCACTGCAGACAACTTGCAGCACCGTTTGCAGAATGGGACTTTTGGCGGGCTCAGCAGGGCAGGGACAGCCTGGACAATTCCTATTGGCTTTTGAAAGCCAATAGAATTAGACTCTATTCAAGAGAGTCTATTCTATTGGCTTTCAAAAGCCAATAGAATAAAAGGGAGTAGCACAGCTAAGGAAAAGGGGAAAAAAATGGCGGACTGCATTGTTTGGCGACTCCCGTGAAATGGTCATTTGACCCCAAATGGGGTCCCGACCCACAGGTTGAGAACCACTGTTTTAGTTAATGCCACAGAGCATAACCATTTTAAAGTAAGTTAGCATTTGAAACTGGTCCTTCAATAGGGGAGTTGAAAAACATGACATAAAGGTAGCATCTGTTGTTAAGAGCTCCCTCTAAAGTCTCTATTTAATTTATTTTTTAACTCCCTGTTTTGCTTTTACTTTATCCCATTTTATTTTACTTCTATTTCTTTTATTCTTTTTCTGCTGGAGACCTTTATTTTTATTTTTTTAAAAAAACTGACACTAGTATTTTTATCATCTCTCCTGTGGGAAAAGGAAGAAGAGGCAGTAATCACGTTGCTTCTCAGACTTCACTCAAGCCTACTAACCAGCTCAAAATTAACAGATTCCTAAAATCTTATGGTACTTACTTGAGGTAGCCAAATGTTTCCTACTTTTTCTGATAGCCTCTCCAAAATAGATATGGCTCCCTAGAATGGGATCTCCAAGTAGAGATAGAGAGCTCTCAACTTTTAGACCTTTTTGCCCTGTCAATATTTATGCCATATTTCAAGGACCTACTATGGTATTGCCTGGTTTAAATTTAAAGTGATATCAAGGCTTGTACACCCATTCACATTTACTCCTCAACTATGGATATCCAGTTATGGATAAAAGGAAGCTACATCAGCAAGGGTTAAAGGTAAATTAGAAATTATCAGACTAGCTATTCTAAGAATCTCTTTCATGTGTGATGGGTAGCTAAATGAATATGATAAAGAAATAAATATTCATGTTCTCAAATCTGGCATTATCCAGATGAGTTGGACTTTAAGCACCATAATTATCAGCCCAGCTGACAATTGGAAATTACAGAAGTAATTTTAGAACATCAGACTGGGGAAGATTCCTTCAATTTGACCCAAAGTTTGGTGGAAACTTCCTGTGGATAAAAGCAAATCACACTGTAACACTTATCTCAGTGGTGGGATTCAAATATGTGAACAACCAGTTCTCTGTGTGGATGCCACTTCTGGAAATCCATTCTGGGACTGGGCAACAAAAAAATAGCTACCGGTTTTGCCAAACTGGTGCGAACCAGCTGAATTCCACCACTGACGTATCTGCAATCTATTATGACAAATATGCATGAGATGCAATTGACTTTTTTGGTCTGGTGCAATTCTCAAAGGCTTAATAAATAGGAGATTTAGCAAGAAGTAAAAAGCAGCTATAATGCATAATTACCAGATTATCACTGGTTTAAGGTATTAGAAATTATAGAAACTATCCTAATAAATACCAGTAAAATCATTTATTATTTAACTTTAATCTTAAGTAACAAGAAATCAAGGAGTCCTCTGCTTTGGGACATGATCCTGCTCTACTTATTTCTAAGTCAACCCGATATAATTGCATTTCTTTTATAATATAATAGAAAACAAAAGAATTATTGATTTCATGTATTGCAAATTGCCTTGTGGGCTGCAAATTGCCCATGTCACATATAGAGTGCAAATCAAAGAAAAAACATTTATGGAAGGTGTTCCTGTGGTCCCACTGATTTATTACCAAGGAACTGCTTAAATAGAGAATAGAACTAAGTAAACCATGATTTGGGGACTTGGTTAAGATGAATTGTATTACTACCGACTTGATCATAAAAAATATCATTCATTTCATTTTGGTTCAGAAGGAATGTTACTGTTTTATCTTCAGAGCATATTTAAGATATAAGATATAATTATAATTCACTGCAGTATAGCATTTAATTTAAAATGACCCAGTATCAACGGTTCTTCAGTTTTTCACTATTTTATGTCCTATGTATATTTATAGAATTAATTATATTCAAATAATGTCTTATAGATGAATAAGGGCTAAGAGTAACAATAAAAATAATCATCACAGCTTCTGTTTGCATTTATTTTGTAGATGTTTTTGCTTTAATATTTTTTCATTGTTTCATAATTTTAGAATTGTTAGCTGCCCAGAATTATTTGGTTGAATTAGGCATCTATAGAAATTAAATTAGAGTTTCTTCCTATTATGTTGAAACATACATAGGCAGGCACATTGTCATAGTTTGGTGAATACTCTTCATTGTATGTTTGAATGGAAAACAACAAAGGCCACCATTATAATCCCAAACCAGCAAATTTGAAATACATACTAACCAGATGAAGATCCAAGCAAGAAGAATTGTGTTTGCATTCATTAATGATGCAATCATCAATGTCTTGGTCACATATTTGTCCAGCATACCCAGGGTTGCAAAAGCAGTAGAAGCCATCAATAACTGAAACAATTATTTTTAAAATGTTAGCTTTGTTTGTACAAAGGAACATTATCACTGGCACAACAAAAATACCTAAGTACATCAATAATAGAAATGCACATTCAATTTAAAATGTAGATGAGAAAAGAGCCCAATCTAGTAAGATGCTTTCTGTAAGCCATAATTAAATGAAAATGAGATGTGGAATCCATTGCCAGGATTCCTGATAATTAGCATCTATATTAAGTATTCATTTCTCTATTGATCTGATTCAGCTGAAAAAGGATAAACCTAAACCTTTTTTTCTATCCAGATTGCAGCCATTAGAAGGAGAAGCGATTTAGAGATGCTTGATAAATTCAATCTCTGTGATCTGATTCACTGATCTGATTCATATCTTCCAGGCTAACATACAGATCATGACCTTATCCTTCAGATTTCACACTTTCCAATTTTGCAATGCAGTACTCAGATCAAAAACATACAAAAATGCATGTCAGAGATTCATAGGTGTAGAAAAGATGTTTAGACATGCTTTTTTGTAAGACAAAGAGTTCAAAACACATACCAAAAATATCACTTTCCTGTGGATTCATCTAAGAAACAAATGAATGTATAAAAGTTAGGGATAGAGGGATTATGTTTGCGAAGGAACACATTCATACTCATAACTGTACACTTATGTTGTTCCAAATACATCCCTTTCTTTCTCTCATATAAGTGAACAACTCTTAATTAATTGGCAATAATAGCCAGTCATCTCCACCTGCAACAGAGACTAAACTACATGGAAGAGAGAGTACACAGATATTCTCTATCAGCATAATAATCATGGGTGAGGAGATTTGCTTGCCAATAAATAAACACTTTATGTAAAGTAATATTGGACTTTTGTTTCATCTATTAATGTTATCTCTTACGTTTTTTTAAAGTATAAATTATACAGTTATGTCTTGATATTATTTTTGTAGCTGAAAATCCAAATGTTCTGGTCAGTGTTTTAATGTAGGTCAAATTCAGTTTAATATTGAAATGTGAAAATTGAAGTCATCTGATCCACCTGTATATATAACTTTCTATATGTCTTCCATCTACAGACAATGATTTAGGAAACATTATCCCTGGTTTTCCAATCATAAGGAAGTCTGTGACTAGATGAAAACGAAATAGGTTTGGATCAGTACTGAGAACAGCTGGATTGCATTTGCTATATAAACATTATGGCTTCACATGGAGTTTGAAGATGGAGGGAGAGTGAGATAGATCATTATGTGACTTAATTCCTCACAAACTGCAGCTTCAAAGATCATATTTCCATGAAAATTTTATCTTCTACACCCATCCAACCATCTTTGGACCAAATAAGAGTAATGAGGACAGCCTTTGCATTATTTCAATGATGGTCGTGAAGCTATAGAGCTGGGAGGGAGACAGCTAAAGTCTATCATATGCAGTGATATGAGCTGAAAGTCCTCATAAACTTTTCTTTTAATGATTTGTTGTTTTTTTGTTATATTTACTGTAAAAGTAAATTCCTTCCTTTCTGTGTCTTTCCCAAATGGGAAAAATGGATATTTTACATCTGTTATTTTCAAAAAGGCAGTAATGAGAGAAAGAAGCATTTACTTTTCTGGAGGGTTAGTTTTCAGACTGTATCTCTATATTAAAAGGAGAGTGTTCAAGAGCTGATGTTTGACAGGCTTGATCAGCTTCTTTCATGTGTAATCATGTCTCATTCTTACCCTCCTAAGCTACCAATCAGAATTTCCTACTTTTCATCATTAGTGAAGTAACAAGAAAATAATCTTTGGAGACTTGCATCTATACAAGGGGCTTGGTGACAGCAACGACTGCAGTTCTTACTGGCATAGATTTATTATAGCCTCACACAGGTCCCAGAGTTCTTCATTATTTCTAAGATTTATCATGTAATTTATGCTGCCATTCAGTCTTTGCACATTTAACTGCTATTACTTTCATTAAATGCTCTGAGCCCTTTGTTCCAGTAATAAACTCCCTCTGTGTGTCTCTCTGTGTGTATCCGTGTCTGTGTAAAAATCCCTGGGATAAATACTTGGATTTTTCTGAATTCATGGATTTACTGTACATGATTATAAAAAGAGCACATACTCTCTCTTTTAAGTTGAAAATTAAAATTATTAATTTTAAAAGTGCTTCCAATCTTAAGCACAGAAAATTCCAGGAGACGACACTGAATATTTTTTGCCAAAAAATATCCACTTCTTTGAAAATTAATTCAAGAGTATGTTTGAATAGGTAAAAGGCAATCTATATGCAGTAGTTTAAAAGCACCCATGGAGGACTGCAGATATATTCAGTCCTTACACAACTAAAAGTCTCAGTTATCATGACCCTTAATTGCAAGAAATAGTGCCTCATAGGATAACTAAGGTATCTCAAATGGGTAACTTAAAGAATGCACTAAAGTTCAGGACTCCTGAGGGAATGAAATTTGGGGAATTTGTGGCTATTTCAGGATGTTGCTGTGGTCATGCAATACTCATTTTGAACATTCCCTGAGAGTTTATTTATTTATTTATTTATTTATTTATTTTCAAATATTTATATGCTGCCCAATCCCAAAGGACTCAGGGCGGTGTACAGAGATTAAAACAATCAGCCAGTCTCACAATCTCTTGCTCCTTCCCCCTCCCAGCACCAAGGAATTGACTTATCACATGACTCTTAAAGTAGCAACAATTTTAATGTATATGAAGAAAGGCCTGGACTGTTTTTATTGCTTTTCTGGCACACAACCATGCACATTATCTATATCCCATCTTTTTCAGGAACTCAAGGCACATATATAGTGCTCCATCCTCATACATTGCTTCACAACAAGCCTGTAAGGTAGGTTGGGTTGAAAGTCAATAAGTGAGCTCCTATGGCTGCAGATGAAGAGAACTGCATCTCTTTCTGGTGTCAATCAAATACTTTAGTCACTATACCTTAGTCCTTGCCCATCCTGTTTCATTTTTCAAACTGCTTCCTACTTTGAAACTGAGCATAGATCAGCATTTCCTCAGCTACTAGAGAAGAGGTAGAGTGGTCCCAATCTAGCCTTCAGAAGGTCAAGTGATCCTTTTTAAAAATTGTTTCTCACAGCTTCCTACAACTCAGTGGAAAAGCCAGCAAAGATTCTAAACTCTCTGAGATGAGAAAAGCAATGGACAACATTGTGGTAAAAAATTAAATGAGATTAAATTAAATAAATTATTAAACTAAAACAATGTCAACATCATTATGCCATGTGGAAAGAAAGGGGGGGACATCATGGTCAAGAGATGACCCCAAAGATTGTCAGGATATAGCCAGGAGGCAGAGAGATAAAGAAATGGAGAATGAAAAGGTTGCATGTCTCTAGAATGACAAGGAATGGTACACAATAAGAGAAAAGATGGAGGAGGAAAGGGAAGATCAATGCAAGAATATCTGGCAAACACTGTAAGAGTTCCTTCAACAACAAAACCTCAACAAAGAAAGAGCAGAGCAAGATTCACAAGTTTGCAATGTAATATTTCTGCTGATGTTGGTGCCATGGCCAAAGTTTGCCCTAACTGTTCTGCCTGGAGAAACCACACATTTCTGCTGTATGAATGGAAAGATCACAATAGGCAATGTGATGAAATGTGCAGCTGGAGAAGAGGTGTGTGGGGAGGACATTTCTACACTCACAATGCAGCTTCCCAGGGAGGAGGCAACACATTCCAGAGAGAGGCCTAAAATAAAAGACTGCATAGTCTTAACTGAATGGGGGGAAGAAGTCTCAGAGTAGTCCTAATCAGTGCTTTTTTTGTAAAAAATAAAGGTGCCGGAATTCACACACGTCATACAACCTACAAGGTTCCATCCAAAAAATATGCCATAACTCCGTTCTGGCCATTCTATGACAAAAAAAAGCCCTGGTCCTAGTCTAGAATCTCCAAGGGTGCATACATTTAGTTTACAGCTTTAGCTTGATGAGATTTTATCTCTTAGGTGTAAGGAAATAAAAAATAAAACTTGATTGGATTTCACTGTGTCATCTTTGGGTTTATGCTTTTTTACAGCCTCTACCTATTGAGCTCATCAATTTGTATAGCCATGATGAAACTATCACAAATGAGTTGCCATTTCCAATGATACCTTTTTGTGCCAAAGAAATCATTCCAATGAGAAACAGATGGAATTCTTTGATAATTATTCAAGGTCAAATCCATCATTACATAGGACATTTAATGCTCTAGCCATCAAGCCAAATTTATTCAAATGGATCCTCAGGATAGCTTAGAATTGAGAACTGATATACTCCAAGATGGAATTCAATATGCGATTGTTCAATAATTGGAGAAATGGCTATGACAAGAGTAGGCAACCTTGGCTCTTTTATGACTCCTGGACTTCAACTCCCAGAATTCCTGAATCAGCCATGCTGGCTCAGGAATTCTGGTAGTTGAAGTCCACGAGTCATAAAAGAGCCAAAGTTGCCTACCCCTGGTCTATGACAATGAAGCTTGTACATTTCATCTCTTTAACTTGCAAAAGAATAAATTTGAGACATGTCAGAAACTTCTATTGTCACTGATCTTGAGACAGCATTTGAACATGAGAGAAGGCTCAATGCACAAACTGCTAATGGAATCATTGTCATTTTACTAAACAATATCAAAACTGAACCAACATCATGGCACATTTTTTTTAAGAATGAGGAGTGGTTTTCAAGTAATTTCAGAGTCCCATCACTCCTATGACAACTTTTAATACATATTTAATACATACTTTTCTTTCCTTTTGGAGATCAACTCCAAATAATAAACAACAAGAAACTAATGGCAATACATTACTATGAATATTGTCTATTCCAACAATACATGATTGACATGGCTGCTAAAATTGAAAGTGAGGCACTGAGTTACATCCAAATGAATCAAGCAACCTTGAGATTAACAACATATAGAGGACTGACCAATGCATTGAGTAATGACGATGATTTTAGAAATATCAAAAGATGCATCATCCTCTCTTTAACATTTATTGGTGGACCAAGAAATGTGATAAAATGATGTCAAGATCTCATGATGTATATATCGAAGTATGTCGGTGCTTCATTTTTCATTACGACATGAAATCCAAACTGGCCAGAAATATGACAGCAGCCAAATGATCTGCTAAATTTAATCACAAGAGTGTTCAAGTTGAAGAAAAAGTTGTTCATGAAGTATCTCACTGGAATATATGATCTCTTTGGTAAGTGTATTGCTTATGTGCTAAGTGTGAAATACCAAAAATGAGGTCTGCCTCATTTGCACAGTCTGCTGTGGCTTGATGAAGCATCCAAGCTAAAACCAGAAAATTATTGATACCATATCATATAAGCTGAAATATCAGACCCAAATGAAGATCCAGAGCTGCATACGTGGGTATTGAAGCACATCATCCTCGCTCCACATTGCCGTAGATACTCAGCATATTGGAAAAATTGTACATGCAGTAAATGGTGACCAAAACCATCCAATGAGCATACAAGGTGTGGCAATGACTCCTACAGGAGATAGTCTTCAGAAATGAGAGGATTTAAAGGACACCAAGCAGGATGGCAGATTTGAACTAATTTCTCTAATTACCTAGAGACCCAACTATTGAAGGCGTTCAATTGTCATCTCAATGTAGAAATATGCTCATCTGTCAAATCCGTCATCAAAGATATCATGAAAGGGAATGAATAGGCAATTTTTGCACTGAACAGAGAAGATGAGATCACAGTACTTGATACATAGCTGAAGCTGTTGCATGATACTTTATGAAAGGGATCCAGTAATTGTTTGCCTTCAAGTGCACCTTCCACAACAGCATTAAGTATTCTTTTGAGAAAATACTGATGTGCAACCAAATAATGATGTGGCAAGAACCACTTTAACAGAATTCATTGATCTTTGCAGTCCATTTGCAAAAACACTGTTCTATGGGGATATTCCAAGATTCTACACCTGGACTAATAAGAGAAGGGAAATAAGAGAAAACTGGGAAATGATTTCAGGAGTTGTCTGCAACTTTTGAAGCCAATGTTCTGGGTTGAATGTATATATTTGGAAAGAAAGAACATAAACCAAATGGTATCCTTTTAAAAATCAACAAGGAAGAACTCTGGGGTCTAAAGTATGTATCAACATCAAGCTTATAAATGACTATATACCAGGACAATGCAGGAAAACTAAAGGAGAATACAAATGAAGGTTGGAAATTTTAAACAGTCTCCAACAAATTTATGCGATTAAAAAAAATGAGTAGAAATTTTCCCTGAATTTGTCCAAGGGAAGAAAAACGCCTTCAACCATTTTTCAAGAAAAAAATAATCTTCTTTAAAGATGACAATAGCACCGATATATGTACATAAACTTCCCTTCTCACTATATGGGTAGTCTGTGTCTTCCTCAGTCTCAGGTCCCCTACCAGAGGCCTGGGAGTTTGAGGGTTGTATGCAGGGTCTTGGCTGTTCTTTATACAGTACTACAGTCTTGGATAGAGAGGTCTGATGTCATGTCTGAGATCTGCTGGAGCCACTCTCCCAGCTTACAAATCATAGCTTCTACCACCACTGAAACCACTTTGGCTTTTACTTTTCACATTCTAATTCTTCCTTCTTTACTCTGCCATGACATAAGCTTAGTCTATGTGTTAAATGTTTCTCTTAATATGTAAGGCTTTGAGAATGCAGCTATTGGGTTTGAGTAGGCTGTGGAGGAAGTTAGGTAAGATAGACATATGCTGAAACCTTGTCAAGTGAATGAATAAATATGATTGCATTATCTGAAGATTTTGTTATTTTGTTTGGTTGGAATGAGTACTGGTACCAATTGATTATTGAAATTAATGATTGGTGAAAAACTGAATGTTTACCTTTCTCATTTGTTTGTAATGAATGGATGTTTTACAGATTCTTTATTCCATGCTTTGAATATGAGGTCTCGTGGATAGGCAATGAATTAAAATTAGCAAAGATACAGGTCAAACCCATATCAGAACAACATCTATGATACAATGCAAACAGGACCTCATTGCTCTAAGACCTCATTTTAGCAACTGAAAATTATTCATAGTCAACTAAATTGTGCAAAGGGTACTTTGGCTAATTGACATATCAGAAGAGGCACCTCAAAAATCACGTTAGAATTTCCCATTAACTGCAGTTGGGAAATTAACTGGAGCTCTGAAAACAGAAACCTTCATGCTTAAAAGTGGGGCATTTGGGCAAATCACTTTTCCTTCTAGTAAACTGCTGAATTGGACCCAAAGTATGCAATTCTGGTTGTTTGAATCTAATTTCTCTAACATGACTTAAATCTGCTCGTGTTTCTCTGCAAGAAACATATTAGCAATAGACAGACTCACCATCATAGCAATATCCATGCAAACAAGGGTTGGAACTGCATTCATCGATGTTGATCTCACAGCGTGGTCCTGTAAAGCCTTTTATACACTGGCACTGAAATCCAAGAGGAAAGGCAGTTAAGTTTAGCTCTTGTAGACATGTAGCTCCATTTTCACAGGGATTACCACCTTCACAGGGTCTGAATTCACAGTTCGAACCTGGAAATAAAAGGAACAAAAATATTTGATTTATGTAACTGTTTACTTAAAGCACTATGAAGCCCAAGAATGTGTTCTAATTCTGTAAAACTTATGTATGGGATTGTGTGTGTGTGTGGGGGTTGTGCATGTGTAAGTATAAGCTGACATTTCCCTGCTTTTCAACTTCAGAATGAAAACATGGTCATGATTCCTTTCTCAAAGAAATGTATGGTTTCATAATGAAAATATACAATCTACAATCAAACAATATTTTCATTACAAGGACATGAATTGCTTTTTGTGATTTCTTTAGCCATCATAGTGAACTAGCTCATGCTATGGGAGAAAAATAACAGTCAAAACATTTCTTGTGGATAAATAAAACAAATCAGCCCCAAAAGATGACACATGTCCTCATGAACTCTGTTACTATTTAGCAAAATAATTTTAATAGGAAAAAAATATTACCACCCAAATTCTGGATATTTATTCCATAATATCATTATATTCATGTCCAATAAGGTTTTCTTTTTATTCTGATTTTTCACCATTTTTAAGGCTGTATCTGTACTACAAACGTAACATGTTTCAATGCAATGATGCATTTCCCCCATGGATCCTTGTCCTCATAGTTTTATGAAAGTATATGCTGTTTGTTAGATGCTTTTGTAGTCCAGGAACAGAGTTTTCAGCATTTGTAGAGTGAAACACCTGATGGACTGCACTGTATACTTATACCCATACCTGAGAGAACATCTCTTTGATACAAATATTTTTTTTTTCCTGGATGTGATACTACTGTGCTGTGTAAGAGCCATATCCTAAAGAAAAGCCTTGAGATTTTTATAAATATGTCTATTTTTTCAATGTTTTATGATAATTCCCTACTCCTATAAGATCTACAGTTGTTCAGTATAACGAACATAGATATTCATGTAAGAAAAATATTATCTTTTAATGAGATGAGGGACCAATAGCTTAGCTCATTCAAAGTGATAGATGGATTACACTACTTCTAAAAGCCTTTTATCAAACTATCAGAATACTATACAACATGAGACCTTCAAGCTATAAAACTGATGTAAAATTGAAGAAAACATAAGAAAACATTTCTTTACAGATAGGAGCATCACTTTATTTTTTCCAAACAATCTAGATAAATTATATCATTTAAATGAGAAGATATAGAATAAGTAGCATCTATCTACATTATATAACTATCTCCTTAGAATTCACTGCAATGTATTAACTTGCTGTTAAGATTGCCTATCAAAGCTTGCACAGGATTTTTTTTTTTACTGTTTCTCATTTTATGATTTTGACTGGCTATTTAGTAATTCTTTTTTTTTTTTTATTGAAATTTTTCAAAAATTTTACAAATAAAGATCCCCCCCCCTCCCACACCACCCCACCCTCCCCCCCCGACTTCCCAGAACTGAATATAGGATTATTTAACAAATTTTAAAAAATAACGTTTACAATTTATAAGATAATTAATAAAAATAATAAAAATCATAATAATAATATATATAATAATATGTATAATAATAATATGCATAACATAAACTTTAAAATGAATAATATATACTAAGAAAGAAAGAGAGAAAAAAAAGGAAAAAGAAAAGAGAGAGAGAGAAAAAAAAGAAAAAAATAGACGAAAAATAGAACATATATATATAAAAAAAATATATAAGTAGTAATACGTAAAGAAAAAAGGAAGAAAGAAAGAAGGAAAAAACAATCATTACAAGTTATAAAAAAGCTAAATGATATTTTTCCATATCCAAATTATATTGTATGAAATTTATCCATTTTTCCCATACTGCAAAAAATTTCTCTTGAAATTGCTCCTTTAAAAAAGCCGAAATCTTTGCCATTTCTGCCAAATACGAAACTTTATGAAACCACTCTTGCAAAGTAGGCAAGGATTCCTTCTTCCAATATTGCCCTATTAACAGCCTAGCGGCTGTAATCAAATTTAACATCAATATAACCTCCTTAGCATCACAATCAGTAACAATACCTAGTAAAAATAATTGCGGAGTAAATTTTACCCTCCGTTTAAAAATTCTTTGGATATTCCACCATATCTTAATCCAAAAAGCTTTTATATGCTTACACGTCCACCAAGTATGATAATAAGTAGCATCCAAATGTCCACATCTCCAGCATTTCGGCTGCAGATTAGGGTACATAATGGACATTTTCTTTGGATCAAGGTGCCATCTATAAAACATCTTATAAAAATTCTCTCTTAAATTTTGCGCTTGTGTGAATTTAACATTTCTTATCCAAATAAGTTCCCAAGTATCCATTGAAATCGTTTCACCAATATTCTGTGCCCATTTAATCATACAATCTTTAACTAATTCAGGTTCTGAGTCCAATTCCACTAAAACCCCATAAACTCTCTTAATATGGGTTGGCCTTTGATCTCTTACTTGTTTTAAAAGAGCTTCATCTTCTCTAAGCCAGCCCATTTTACAATCCATCTTCCATCTGTCCACTATTTGTCTATATTGGAACCATGAATAAGTTAAATTTTCATGCGTTAGCTATTTAGTAATTCTTAATATTTGTTATAATTTGAGGAAATGATGCCCTGTTTGTAAAACAGGGGGTACCTTGCTCAATAGTAGTAACTGTGAGAGGGACCTCGGAGTCCTAGTGGACAATCACCTAAATATGAGCCAGCAGTGTGCTGCAGCTGCCAAAAAGGCCAACACAGTGCTAGGCTGCATTTACAGAGGGATAGAATCAAGATCACGTGAAGTGTTAATACCACTTTACAATGCCTTGGTAAGGCCATGCTTGGAATACTGCATCCAGTTTTGGTCACTGCGCTTTAAAAAAGATGTTGAGACTCTAGAAAGAATACAGAGAAGAGCAACAAAAATGATTAGGGGACTGGAGGCTAAAGCATATAAGGAACAGCTGCTGGAATTGGGTATGTCTAGTTTAATGAAGAGAAGGATGAGGGGTGACATGATATCAGTGTTCCAATATCTCAGGGGCTGCCACAAAAAAGAGGGAGTCAAGCTATTTTCCAAAGCGCCTGAAGGCAAGACAAGAAGCAATGGGTGGAAACTAATCAAGGAGAGAAGCAACCTAGAACTAAGGAGAAACTTCCTGACAGTTAGAACAATTAACCAGTGGAACAACCTGCCTCCAGAAGCAGTGAATGCTCCAACACTGGAGGTTTTTTAGAAGAGACTGGACAGCCATTTGTCTGAAATGGTGTAGGGTTTCCTGCCTGAGCAGGGGGTTGGACCAGATGACCTCCAAGGCCCTTCCAACTTTACTACTACTACTACTACTACTACTACTACTACTACTACTACTACTACTACTACTATTATTATTATTATTATTATTATTATTATTATTATTATTAAATATTCTGAAAAGGTAACTGACTGTCCAATTTGTAGGGATGGCAGAGGCATATTTAGATAGCACAAATATCAGTGATAATATGAGCATAGTTTTCATAGATTTCTATCTATGATATCCCCCTGCTAATGCAGGCTACCACACTACCACTTGACCTCAAGGGAAACTTGACAATTTATGTAGTACACAAGCTTTTTATCACATTTTCTCTTCTCTTGTAGAGAATCCACGCTTCATAATTCCCTACATGAGCAGGCATAAATCTAACGTTTAGATTTTTTTTCATACTCCAATATAACACAAGACTGTGAGATAATGATCATATGTTAACTTTACACATTATTTTATTGATATTTCCATTAATAAATAGGTTCATGGGTGCATTTCTAAGTTACCAGATTCACCTCAGTCAAAAGCAGACAAGTGTTCAGCTGAAATACAGCATTCAAACCACAATGAAAATAAGGGGAGTCTCTCTGAAAGATTGGAATCATAGCCACCTCAAATGATTTGTGACAGCAGCAATCGTATTAGTAAAATAACTACAGCTTTGTTCTAACTGCTCATTTTCTAGGCTATGTTAATTCAGAGATTGCCATATCTAAATAACGCATTTCAGCTGACATCCAGATACTGGCATTTATATAATAAGAAATAAAAAACAATAAGTTACTTTCCAGGGTTCCTTTGTGATCCATTCACCATTTCAAAGGCTGCCCAGTAGAGATTATTTTATATTGCTTTGATGTTTACGTTGTTCTTCATTAGCATCACCAGAATTGCAATGCTGCTTGTGACAGCCAAGACCAGCCTCCAACAACAGAGTTTACTGCATTTTGCCAATAACTTTCTTTTTTTTTTCCCATGGAGGCTATATCTTTGGAATCCCTAAGAAGCACAAAGTTGGATTGCCCTATGATATATAGAAGTTAGTAAAATCTCCAGACTCTTCTTTGGTATCTGATGTCACCATCTTCAAAACTGTGGGCCTTTAATTTTCAAAACACATATTTTTTATTTTTTGATTCTTTGCACCCTCATCCTCCTTATGCCGGTCTTTGACTCCAATAAAGGTTTGATTTGATTTCGCACAGAACTTTAAAAAATCAAATTCCAATGCAACAAAAGATGTTATGATATGTGACGAATACCATCTTCACTATAGGAAAGCTATTTGCCATTCTCTGTACATGTAGCCAGACTCCTCTGGCAGAATGTGCTTTGCACAGGTATGAAGTTGGGTCAGTTTCCAACCATTGTTTCTTGTCCTTTGCACATGTATGAAGTCATTATGAGAGTATGTGTATCTCCTCAATCACAGACTTCTAATTAAACCTTTTTGCACAGATTGTATTAGCTTTTATTTTCCTACAGAAAAGCTCAAACCTTTAAGAAAGGGTTTGATTGCCATGTTTATTTTTTCATTGCTTAGTTAGTGGGAGGATGACATTTGTGTGGTTCTAATTAATATATGTGCATTATTTAACTTTCAGAAAAGACAAAAAAGCGGGCTATACATTTAACAGTACTTTTCCCTGCAATTAAGGGTCTCACACACTTCAATAAAAAATAAAACATTTTCTCTCCATTCAATTGTGTTCAGTTCTCAAAGACTGTCTGAACAG